ACGACATTTAATCGTTCAGCGCTCAATCGATGGTTTGTTCGTTTCTCGAATTTTGTCATAGTTTTGATTAATTGGTAACAGGACATCGTGTCGTCCAGTTTAGTCTGTAATCATACTCGTGATTAATTGTTAATCACTCGTATGATTACAGACCGAATTGGACTCCACTCAGTCCTATTACCATTATTTATTATTATTATTATTATTATTATTATTATTATTATTATTATTATTATTATTTTATTTTTTATTTTTTTTATTTGTACGTTTCGCGTCTGACAAGTGATGCAGGGCGCTACTCATTTTCATTGATCCGCACCGCTCCAGTCGCTTGTCTTGCGCACCTTTGTACCTTTGTAACGCCTCTGCGTTACCATGACGCCAGCACCTGGTTGAGCTCGTGATCTTCTTTGTTAAAATCCAACACAGCTGATCTTCAAGCACTGAGCCATGAAACGAAAGTGAAATAAAAATATCATCGACCAAAGGCGCAACTCTACAAGACTAATATATAGTTGTAGAGATTGATATGTAGTTCATCACAGAATCAATGTAAAGCGGTTGGGCTGTTAAATATGTATGAAATATTATAATATAGGAAGGGATCCCGCTGCGCGCTCTGTTTGGTCGAAAACCCATGTTTTCTCAGAGTGTAAACATAGAAAAAGCGTGTTTTATTGTTTTTCGCCACATTACCTCTATATCATAAAGCAAATAAAGAAGCCTAAGCCGTGTATTACATCCGGACATTTGAGTACAATCAAGCAATGTAGACGCTTGCGGCTCGTGTTTTCTACATTTCCCCCGTGTTCTCACATGCCCGTGGCTTCTTTACTTGTTAAATAAAAGTTAATTTCGTTTCCACAATAAACTAAGGCAGCGTTTACACCACGCCAGGTGGATTTGAAAACGAAGCTATATTTCTACGGTTAGGCCTACCGTCCACACTAATCCGTCACGAAAACGGATCTTTTCGAAAACGCTCTTCAAACCAGCGGAATTTGAAAACGCCGACGTTTCGTTTTCGTCTGGACGAAAAACATTTTGAAAACGGAGCCAGCAGTTTGAAAACAATGACCTCACGATAACCATACGATTATCCTGTCCGTTCTTTTTTCAAACACAAATCAAAAATGACCGGTGACTGTTGCGTTTTTACGTTCCTCCGGCGTAGTGTGGACGTAAAACATTTGATGCGTTTTCAGAGTGAAACCTCCGTTTTCAAATTCCTCCGTCATAGTGTGGACGGCACTAAGTCGAGGGGCAGCAAAATCCTTGGTTGCACGTTTGGCCTCGTGACTGTGCACTGCATGTCAAGTAGAGATCCAGTCAGCCAAAAACCTCAAGGATTCCGATGAAATGAGATTCAACGGGCTCTGCTTGTGAATGTTTTCTTCTATTCTTTGTTTTTTTTTTCAATCACGACCATCGCCATCAGACACTGCTACAAGCATCATTGTTGAAATTTCTTTATTTTTACTGTCGCACGTACGACCACAAATGAAATACAACTATAAAACTATATCTAACTGTTAGAAACGAATTTTCTTTCAGTCCTGGATCTAATCAAACAGACCTTTTTATTCGGTACGCACTCAGTTCAAAATATCTCGATTTTTTAACAAAGATTGGACATATTAAGAAATTTTCCATCAAATAAACTGCCAGAAATGGCGATAGGATTATTGCCGAGTAAGAGGGCTAAGCTGCACTATGTTTGGCTGATATCACGACCTCGAGCCAACGGTATTCTAATCCAAACCTGCTACGCCGTCCGAGTCGGCAAATAGGCACTTGTTACCCCGTTGATAAGTGGGAAAGGCAAGTCTTGTTCACGCAGCCATCGAAGACTCCCGAATCTGGGAATCCGATTTTTGTAAACAAATTTACTAGTAGTAGATCAATCACCATATCAACTGGAACATTCGTATAATTATTTGATTCTAAATTGCTTATAAAGAATCTCTGTATAGAACCGTAGTGATTGTCCGATAAGAAACGCAATACCTTTCAGACGCCGAGGATTGTTCGAATATTTTTTGACTCAAACGAGCACAAGTCACGGTGTTAAACTGAATGAAACCTGAAAATAATAGTTTACTAAGAGAGAAAAACACTAAAGAGATGGTAATAAACCATAGAGAAACAACAATGGCTAAGGATAGAGAAGATTGCACGGATTGCGAACGACGGACTTGAAAAGTTTAGACTAAACTTTTCGAGATGCACAAACTGTGACGAGCTCCTTTAACTTTATCGATACGTACTACGAAATTGAACAATAACGATGATTGACTCTACTATAAAAACTTGAATTTTTTTGTCCTGCTCATCAAGCATTTTTTTCACTGTGCACTTTCTAAACATTTATCTTCAATCGTCGACGACTGAAGAACACCGTTCACCATCCATATTTGTACTTAAAATCAAGCTTTAGCAAGTATTTGATGTTAATTTGTCCAACATCATACACGATGTATCTGAGATCAGGTTAAGAATAATAAAGAATTCAGAAGTTAGAACAACAACTGGCTGAAAACGTTCTAATACAGCGATAAAATTGAATCTAGCTGTCCGGGATCAAGCACTGACTGACGTCATGACGTCGTGTTTTTGGGTAAGAGAACTCCTTCTGACACTACCGTTCTTAACCAAGTATAAATGGGTACCATAATCTGAACTGTTCGGATAATCTAACGAAATACTGAGATAAGCCCGGGAAATTTCTAGTCAGCGAAAAGTAGCATATATTTCCACAGGCGTGGCTCTTAGAGCTTGCCACAGGTTTTCCCGCGCTTTGCACACTGATTACAATGATTTCCCGCACTTTGCACAGGTTACACCTTTTCCCACGCTTTGCACCGAGTACACTTTTCCCGCGCTTTCCACGGTTTACACTTTTTTTCGCGCTTTGCACCGGGTGCACCTTTTTCTGCGCTTGACACCGGCCTACACCGGTTTGCGCCAGTTTCACTTTATGTACTTCTAGTTCTGATTGGCTGATTTTATTAGTTGGGTGTTATCAAATTGCTTCACGCTATTTCAAAGAAAAATAACCAACTAAACGACACTCCTTTGAGGAACCAACGAATTCCCAAAGACAATATTACAAGAAATATTGCACGAACTGACGAGGAAGAATCTTCAAGCTTCTGATCATGGATAAAAGGATACTCGTTGTAGAGAAGACTTGAATTTGCAACACTTGTGTTAGTTCCTTTTCCGACTGGAACAATCGTGCCATCCTCGAGCGTGACGTCCGCAGAGGGGTCTGGGCCTGTCTTACCACATCCTAAAGCGAAAACCACAACGCATTAATCAGAAGAAAATTCAAACTCACTAAGCAATGGAAACTTTTGCAAATCACGGAAGTAATCAACGGAGGTGTCACTGAGAAATTTTAAAGTGAGTTTATGACAACTTAGGAAAGACTTCTTTCACTTTAGATTCCTTCGGATTTGTTACATGTTTTCACCAGGAGATCCTAAATGTTTCCCTCGGGAGGAGGGAGAGGTTGAGTAGGGGGAGAGGGTGGGCGGATGGAAACATACTGTTTCTCTTCGCATGGTCATAATACTCATTTACCCCATGACACAGGTATAGTTCACGTACCTTTGACACTGTGCTTTCCTTTAGGAGGTTTTGATATGTAGCTAGCTGCAGTTAGTTCATGCCTGTGAGAGACAAAAAGTATTAATAAGTCCGGGGCCAAACAAGAACAAGAGTAGCCGGGATATCAAACTCTTTCCCTCCTGTGGCTAGCAACTCACATCGTCTATCAATACTCTCGGCTTTTCTCGTCGAATGAGAGACAAAGAGAGTTACACTTGTGAACTCTCAATCTTGTACTTGAGTTTCCAAGGCCTCGACCACACAAATGCGATTTCGTATGAAAACGCATACTTTTTGATACCCTTGCTTATCGTCCACACTAACGACCCAAAAAGCTGTTGAAAACGGACGCTTTCGAAAACGGTTTCAAATCAAAGTGGAGCCTTCTGAAGACGCATCGTTTTCAAAACACTCTGTTTCTAATGTGGATAGCTGAAAACGGAGGCTTTTGAAAACGGTGCCGAAAATAGCGTCATATACTCTTGCTTTCATCAGAGTTTTAGTATCAAAAAGTATCCGTTTTTAGTGTGGACAGGTGAAAACAAAACGAAAACGCTAGTGTGATCGGAAATACTTTACTTCGTTTTCGTCGAGAAGAAAACAGATCAGTACTTTTAAAAACGCGTTAGAGTGGCCGCGGCCTAACTGTTTGAATCGATTGTGCGCTTACGGCTGGTTCGTTGGCGAAAGGATACTTACATATTTCCTAAAGCCACTTCACAGAGCATCATTAGACCAATGTTATCAGTAGGTGTGGTGCGGCAGTAATTTGCTGACTGTAACATAAGAAGAGAACAAGTCAACAACAAGGACAATGACACTGAACGAGAACAGCCAACACCATCTAAAATGCAGGCTTAACAAAATGTTCCGCTACAAAAAGGCCTGTGATGGAAACTTCATCAATTCACATCATAAAGGTGTGAAATGTTATAAATAAACAACTACTTCATTGGATTCAAGATTCTCCCTACTGTTTCCATATATTTTCCATAATTTTCCTTAGAAGAATTTTGTATTTAATCATGATGTTTTTCCGTTAAAGAATACATCATTAGCTTTTCAGTTCGACCTGACTACTTATATTCGTTAAATTCGTTACCGAAAGGTTAAGAGGAGTTAAAAATTAATCCAGTTGTTGCTCCGCTTACCTTGGACACCATATCTGCCAAAAATAATAAAAGCGAAAAATATCAAATTCAGGACAAATATTTATCTTAACCAAATGGATAGACTATAAGCGGTGCACGCATTAGGTCAAGTTGAAAATTGAACAATTCCATACAAACTTCTGTACATGTGTTTACTTAACTACGCACAAATTGCTACAAAAATAAATCACCACGTTTAAACTGTTTACTGATTTCCAGTAGAATAATATTTAGAACTATTCCTGACGCAACGATTTCGCGATTCATTCCCTGTTTATGCTACGCTGTGTAAATTCAGATACTCAGGAGCCTTGCCAAAAAAAGCTAGAAATTTGAAATATTTATAACATTGAAGCGACGCTACCAGTAAACAATTATAAATTCATCTGCGAAAGCGACTTTGACACGTACGTACCTGCGAAATAAACACCTTTACCAAACATATAGCCTGTCTGAAAGACAACACATTGACAGGTGAGAAGGAATTACTCTGTAGCGGTTATTTTTAGACCAACACTCCTGAGACCATTCAATGGGATTCAATCTTGTTATTCTTACTTCGCTCAGGACCTCGATCGGGACTTGACTCGGGACGTGCATCACTCCACGCAACGCGTGGAGACTACCTTCCCGTTGCGAAAACGATTGAAGAAACTCTGACTATGATTAAACGGAGTTCATTTTATTACATCGCTCGCTCCGTGAGCCAGCAAGATGAATCAAATCTTGCGATGTGATTGGAAATCCGAGAGAGCAAGATGGCGCTACCTTGCCTGCTCGGAACTACCCGCTGTGTCCGGCAAGAAACATTTTCCCGAAAGCCATGTAAAAAATCCTTTATTGGCCAAACTTGTTCGGTCAAGATGGCTAAATATTGACCTCGTTCATTTTCTGCAAGTTTATCGACCACGACTCCGGATCGGTCCATAAACACGCCAAACAAAAGAACTTGGCCAGTATCCAGCCATCTTGACCTTACCCTTGGACCATAACCCATATGTATAAGTAACTTAGACTTTATAAAAGTGACTGACTCAGAAGTAAATTGGGCTAAAGAAGAAAGGTCCTTAACGAGCACTTACCACTGGGGCCTCAGGAGGCGCGATCCTGAGCCCTTGAGATAAAATGCCAGCGTAGTTTGTGGTGCGGGAGCCATGCCACAGTAAGCGGCGATTGTGCAGTTCCTTGAAAGGCTGAAATCTTTCTCTTTCACCATGACGATTCACCTTGAAGACCTTGAAGCCAAAACAAATAGACCATATTCGTACTCCCGGTATTGGACTGGAACCAGCTTGCAACTGAGGCTACGGCGAGAAGTCTTTTTAAATGCAAATGACGTTTATCTCTTTTTAATGATATTCCCCGCATGAGCCTCCATTGCAAGCTAGTTCCAGTCCAATGCCGGGAATACGAATACGGCCCATTGCGCAGCTTTGTTTTAGAAGAAATTTTAGTAAATACGAAATCGTGAACTTGAAGGTAGTGTTAGAAAGCGGTATGAATAGTTAATCAGCTTAGGGCTGTTTGACAACTTGTGTTTAGGAGACAGATAAAGGGGAGGGGAAATAAAGAGAGATAAAGGGAGTTAAAGAGAAAGAGTATTCTTGTCTTTTGTACTGGGGTTGCTGAAGGTGTTTTTTTAATGTTTAACACAGGTATTCTTTCGGATAAATTTTAGGAGTGTTAAATTACGGCTCAGGAGGCGCAGTTAGAGTCCTGGCTGGGGACTGTTGAGAAAGACACTACTCTCACAGTGCCTCTCTCCACCCAGGTGTATAAATGGGTACCATCGAATTTAATGCTGGGGGTAGCCCTGCGATGGACTAGCATCCCATCCAGGGGGGAGTAGAAATATCTTAGGGTAGTCGCTAGTGCTTCATGCCACAGAAACCGGGATTAAGTGCTGGCCTGATGGGCCACTTGGCACGTATGCAGACTTTTTTTAAATTACAGCTTCATTCCCCCCACCCCTTGCTGTTTGGTGCGCGGACAAGAAAGTAGAACATTCTTTAAATTACAGTGTATTATATCGACAAAAACAACGCAATGAAAGCAAAAAGAAGGTTAGCTCGGAAGAGTCTTTTCCTCCATATGTTAACTGTTGATTAAAGCAGAAGCAATGCAGTACGTTTATCTCACATGAAATAATAAGAAACGTTATTCACCTCCAGGACTTCCAGCTCGTACTGAGAGTGTGTTTCAGCGTGTGTATTTTTCACGTAATCACTGATCAAAGAATATTCCTTACAGTCCTTGGCAAGAACCTGAGAAAAAAGAAAAAAAGTGACTGAGATTCAATAAATCCGCATGATTCTTTCACCTTTTAAGGCTGGTTTCCACACGATACTGAGCTGCGATGGTTTTCATCGCTACAGGAAAGTTGAGAGATCTTGTGAGGCAAAGGAGAGAGAGCCTCGAGTGATCGAGTGGTTTCAAGCCTTAAGACTCAAACCCGTCAGGTGTTTCGCCCAAACACGAAGTATTGAATTAATTCAGAAAAATTTGATTTACTCTTTTGATTCAACTGTAGTTGCATTCTTGAAATGAACAGTTCATTTGTCAACCCTCAATTCAACGATGGCCCGGTGCCATATGTGGGTTGAGTTTGTTGTTGGTTCTCGCCTTGCTCCGAGGGTTTTTCTATGGGCTTTCTGGCTTTCCTTCCTCCACAAAAACCAACATCTCCAAATTCCATTTTGACCAAGATGGAGGACACTCATGAAAACCAGCTAGGGCTGATGTGGCTTCCTCTCTAAGTAATAAGGTGATTTATTTATTTAAGTACGAATTCCGAATGCGAATGTTGATCGGATTATTGCCTGGATTTTCATAAAACAGGCATGTCGATTTAGCGTGATCTCTCGAACATGTTTACCTGGCTGGAGTAACAAAATTATTGACTCACCTCTAAATCAGTTTCTAATTTTTCGTAGTTAACGTCTAAAGGATCCTTTGCCAGATCACTCTCCCCACTCTTCAACAAACTGTAAGCTACTTCAATGTCAAGCAAATTGTCCAACATGCCCACTTTAGCCTAGAACAAAGTAAAAATAACTGATCAGTTAGTACTAAGAAAAACACAAACATCTACAGTTTTTCTGTTGTCCCTAATAAGTGTCCGTGCCTGGGGCCTGTTCCATGAAAGCCCTGGAAACTTTTCAGGCCCGCAAAGCGATTTTTAGTTAATCTGTATCTAAAAACAGAAGGCTGTAGACGCCTGAAACTTCTTGTATGAAGGGAACTTCTAGTCATATTAAAAATATGTAAATTAAAACAGCTCTGTAATCATAAGTTTTGAGATTTTGCTACGGCTTCCTTCGAGAAATGGACTCCAGCCCAGAAGGGTGTTAGCATTTGGGCCATGAATTTAGGCCCGGCAAAGTAAGTTAAACAAATCCGAAAGCCCTCAGGCTGTACTTAGGGCAACCTCGTTCCCAGGCTCTCTCTCATTTGCCTCCCTAAAGGAGACGAAGTCTGGGAACGGGGTTGTACGTGGGGCATCACAGTAGCTCATCAATACTTGGACCATCTTTCAAACAGGCTTGCAGTATTACGACCTTCTTGGTAGGCCCTTGATTTATAGGTCATCCTCGTAGGTCCCCAGTATTTGGACCATGCATCTTAGGAACTACTTAGCTTTCTGTAGCTAAATACAATGGTCTCATGAAGTCAGTTACCAATGATGACATGATGACAAATGCAAAAGAAGTATATGATATGATGCTTATAACAAACTGAACAACAAAGAAATTACGCAACGAAAAGCAAAGGATATTTTTAATTTATTACAATTTATTAAAATTTTAATTTATTACAATTTATTACAATTTTAATTTATTGTAATTTATTACAACTTAATTTGTTACAATTTTTTCTACCTGTTTCTTGTTTTCTTTAGTCTGGTAATAATAATGAAACAAGAAGAAATTTACGTCCATTTTAATTTTTTCATTACCTGAATTAGTTCCAAGTTGTTTAACATTGGCGGCTTCTTCATACCAAAGTCATGAGGAATCAGTGTGTAGAACCTGTTAGATGCATCCAGAAGAGCATTGGCACTACTACCATCTGAAATCAACTGTCATTACACCAAACAAAACATCAGTTAGTTACAGGCCTTCAAGGGGGAACATAATTATTATGACAAGATTTTCGGCAATTTTCACTTTTGGAAAAGTTGCAATACAAACAACAGTAGGGAGTTTGTGTAACCACGAAGGCGACACTGGGGACAACACGATTAAAAAAGTCGTTTACATTAATTGTTACTTTAATTGTCACTGTCAAAACTATCATGAAACTAAATGTGGGACACAGCGATAGATTTAGAAAAAAATACATTAAAAATCAGTTGTCGTGGTTCATGTTCTCCACACAATGCAGAATTTGGTCATTTCACGTTGCTGTATTGCAGAGGAGGGTAAAGAAATGAACCAAGATTTACAACGCACGTGCTCATTTTAATGAGCAAAACAATTGCCGTCGTGCAAAACAATATTGTCGTTGCCGTTGCGGTTTTCTTAAATTCCCTACTGTTTTACATTATATCAATCAACACTAAAATTAAAGCAATTCACATTTACAATTTTGTTCAGGATACGATTACTTACTTTCTGTGCTTCTCCTAAAACAGAATAAGCACTTTCTATCTGTCGCCTTGTCAACTTTCCCAATGGCATTTTCTTCAAGTCGATCTAAACAACACAAAAGCACGTATTTGGTGCGATGAACATCGAAGAGCACCAAGTGTGGTGTACGATAGTTAGCAATAATGGCATAAATGTGTTATGACTAGCAATTAGATGGAGCTTGAGATTTCTATTACGTGATAGTTGACGAGGGCACAGCCCAAATTGTTTTAGTATAAATCTACTAGTCGTTCAAAACTTTATCTAAGTCCTGTTCACAGACACTTCGAAAACGCAAGGAAGTGGCTGTCATTTTGTTAACAACCGCACACTGCTGGGCTACTTATGTAAAAATATGCCTGTAGCAAAGCGATGAGTAATCTGAAATGTCAGCGGTTTCCCACCCTAAAACTACCTCAACTGACCTTTCAGGTTCTATGATGAAACTGCAAAGATCTTGCAATTTATTGGGTTTAAACTATAAAAGGGTTTGATTCATGAAAAACTCACTTCAAATTCTACAAGTGTTTTCTTCATAGACTCAACATCAAATATCATTTTAATAAGCTCTTGGACAGGAACAGGTAGCAGGGATTTACTTCCTGCTGCAATAGTTGTCTTAAGCTCCTCGTCATCCTGAGGGAAGAAATGTGAAAACATCACTTATTTTCCTTGCCACATACCGTAAACCGCCACCTATAAGCAGCCCCCCCCCCCCCGGGGTTATAGGCCCATCTACCTGTAAGCAAAATACTACTTCCAATTTTAACCCCTCCAGATATAAGCCACACATCTAGTTTAAAATGAAATCGATCTATTACGATGTCTTAAAGCTAAATTAAAAACTAGTATATGAAAAACATATTGTGATCAACACTACTGCACTTTATTTTGAAACATTTTATTCATTCCGCTTATAAGGGCCCCCCCCCCTCCACCCCGCCCGGATATAAGCTCCTCCCCCTTTACGAAGTTGTATAAGCCCAGGGCCTATGAGCAAGCGACAGTTTACAGTTACTTTTGTGAACCATTTCGCTTTTGGTTTTGTTTGAACCTGTTCTTCTCCCGGCTTGTGAAATTAAACTGCTCTGACATTAACCACACATACCTGCCCATAGTCAATTTCCAGTGGATAAAATTTATTTGGGTGCTTGACAAAGTTCTTTCTGTCCAGCCAGCTATTTCCTGTATATGCAATATTACCAATTATAAAATAAACAAATCCATACTAACAAGTTACGGTTTCACTGTACTGCACAACACAACCACCAGGGAATAAATGTATCTTACAGTTTAGTAGAAATTTTACTGTGTAGTATTGTCCCGGGGGGGTGGGGAACTCTCATATGAAAAGGTCGGGGATGCTCATCATTTCGCTTAGTAGTTTAGACGAAATGCCACTATTTTACACTGTGAAGGTTTCTTTTAGGGTGTACTCGAAGAAAAACATTAAAAAAACCCACCCCCATTTCTGCTTTTAGGCTCAATTTCCACCTCTCTAGAGTCCAGTCTACTAGCACACACTAGTGCAGGCTCCTTTCCCAAGCAGTGGCTGGCAATCAAGCCTATTTCATTTTAAGTGGTATCTTTTAAGAATCAAATAAAGTTCGAGCCCCACCTAGATTGGTCTCCTTTAGGGTTTTGATTCAAATTTTCCGACGAGCGTCTCCAACCTTTTCATATGGGAGTTCCCCCCAGGAGTACTGTTGTTGATTATTCAATGAGTTCTTTCGGAGCTAAATTCCAAATTTGCCACCTTTTGAACCTTTTGCATAAAATTAATGTAAGAGCTACAAAATCTAAATGACTTCATGAGCCAGTCTCCTGGTGCACTAACATCCTGACAACTAAAACTTACTTTGCGCATAATGGATAATAGTTATGCCTAATTGTATCTTTATGTTATGCTTCGGCGGCATATCAGACGAGTTTGGTTGAGCGATGGTTTGTATTTTGGCGAGAAGTAGTCCACCCATGGTGAGACCAAAGGAGCTTGATATACCATCAAAGTGTACCAAAAAGGTACGATTAGGTATTTACCGTACACATGTTCGGCCAAGTGAGCATGACGTCACTGCCATATCGGGTCAGTGACTTGATATTGCAGGATATTAGGACAGTAGACATAGCTTCTGATTGGCTAACTGTGAATTTCAGTACGGTAAGGTCAGTTACTGTACCTGTTTTGTCGGCATAAAGTTCCATGAACTTTTCAATGGCTGACCTTGAGGATCCACAACGCTGTAAAATTCAAAACATTTCTCCTGATTGCTTGACAATAAAAAAGTATTTCCACTGACATTTTTACAGACATTAGAGAAAGGATGTCAGTTAAAGTTATCATTTGCGTCTTAGGTACATCTGATGTCACATACAACACAGCAGAGCATTTGGAGAGCAAAAGAACAAGCAACGTAATTATCTTGCGCAAGCTTAGATGGAACATTACATGGCTTCTTTTACAACAACAGCAACACTTTATTAAGGTATTTCCATAAACACATGACATCACCTATTTAAACTAATGAAAATATAATAACATCTAAAATATCATCCAAAACAAGACTTATGGAAATTCATGTCTAAACGAAAATTCATGTCTAAGGGACATTCCCTGGAAAATACAAGCAGCAAAATGTACAGATGAGTGTTTGAGTCCTATGCCTCAAAGTCTTCTCTGCTCAGACTAAAATACCTACCTCCAGTTTGTTTCCTCCAATGGTTGTCCCAACTCTTCCCCACGATCGGAATAGATGATAACTAAAGATTTCAAATACATGTATGAGAGAAATGAACAGCCGTTGTATGCTCAAAACGAAAATCACCAACTTCCCACTGGCCATTAATTGTGACATTATATCATGCTGCTGTAAGCACAAAGACAGTGGTGTATGTCTCCTGTCAAATTGTTGAATTTCAAACAATCAAGACTTGTAGTTAGCAAAAGTGTGAAAAGGTATACTCACGAATTGCCACGGTCAGCTTTTAAAATCTGTAGTTTGTAATAAGAGTTGGTGCCTCTAACAATGTCAACTAAGCCCAAAGTAGCACTGTAAACTGTTCCTTTTTCTTCAAGCACGTGGCATGTGTCTTCCATCTCTGAAACAAAGAAAGTACTATGCTAGTTAATAAATACATCCACATTTACCACAGTTGATTGATTGACTGATTAATTTTCACAACTTGTGTGTACTTGCTCATTATATTTTTTTTACTTGTGTGGAGGGTTGTAAGCAAAAATGACATAATGCTGTTCCAATCCCAGGTGGCCCCCAGCGCACACTGCTACCCTACGCACTATCTACAAAAGAATAGATAGTGAGTAGTATAGCCAATCAGAGAACAGCATTTGTGATAGAACGCTAGTAGATTTATACTAAAACTCGACAGAAACATGGCACATGTTTTCAATTTCTTAAATGAGCCAGCAGAATAAGATGACAGGGGAGGGCGGGGGGTTTATATGTTGACCACTACCTGACTCTGGATCTACTGCAGCTCCACCTTTCACAGCAACCTTCATTTTCTTTGCCAATCCACTTCCTACAATGTTAATAAAACTACAGTTATTCCTAAAGTTGTATTTCTAGCCAGGGTACATTGATGTAGAAATCAAAATTGTGGAATTGATGTCAAAATATCGACACAGATAAATGAGGTGGTTGGATATAAGTGAATTATACTGATTGATCTGATTAAGACTCTGATCAAGCATTTGTTTGGGACAAAATAAAGTGGCCTTATGAATGAATTTGTGGTCATAAGCTTGTGTTTCACAACACATGTTCTCGCAGTTAACACTGCAAAATTCTATGTTGTACTGATGAAACGGAGATTCAAGAAGGTTGAACAGGAGCACAAATTTTTGCTCATTCCTTTGCAAACATGTTTTTGCTTCTTGCTGTTAAACAGACAATGTTAAACAGCACATAGGTCAATTAATGGTCACATTAAGGTTGTAATTTGCTCACTTTACTCTGTAAAATATTATATAATTTATTACGAGTACCTCCATCTGAAGCACTTTTCTTGACCTTAGCCACAGAAGGAGGGGAGGGACCATCTGTCACACTAGTACCCTACGAATATTCAGTTGTCACAAGCTAAGGGTTATTTGTCTTATTCAAGGCTAGCAACTTTGTTTATCTACTAATACAAATACTACATGGAAAATTTTACTCT